ACCTACCAGGTCACAAATCGACATCGACAAATTTCTGTACATGACACTTGACTCATTCGACAGATCGGTTGACCAATTCATGGGCACTGACCGTTCTCCAATATAGATCACAATATCCACCTCGAACATGGAGATCTCTACAAGGAAAATTTAATTAGAGAAGTCTTAAATACCATAGCATGTAATTGGTAATGATAATAATAGTTTCATTGCAAGTTCCTGATATTTTGAAGGCACGCTCTCGGTGATACAGTGAGTAGGAATCGATGTTGTCAGTGATTTTTACTGGTGCGGTGTATTCACGACTAACTTTCGTTTGATTCACTTTTCATCATTCTGCGGAAGATGTCAGTAATGCTTACAAATAGAAGAAAAGATAAGTGCACACAAGAACGCACGGAATGACATTAATGAAGTGAATTGTAAGAGAGACTGCGATCTAGTCGAACACTGCAAAATTTAAACACAATGGTCGTCAGTTTTCATTAGGCCGTTCAGATACTGTCACCAAATCTAATATAACCACGAGTCGGGTCTGTGCCTCAATCGACGCACTCACTCAAGCAGTCGGTGAGCCGGTCGTTCAATCAATGAGTTTATCAATCGACTGATCACTGAGCACAGCACAAACTCAAATCTCATGTGACCATGTATGGAAATAGATGCGGACAAAACATGATTTTTGAGAAACAATATGAACCTACCGAAATCATCTGATGTAGTAGGTGATGATGGGCTCGTCGTCTTCACAGTTGATGTCGACCTCACCATCTCCGTTGTCGTAATCGGTTGCGCGATTTCTGTTGAGACACTACTTCTGTCTGTATGTTCAAGGCTGCTAGTCGAAGCTGACATGCTTGTCGGTGAACCTGTTCAATTAAGTATGAAAACACACATATAATATTTGTATTTGTCGTTGATTCACTCGTCGCAACCGAGAACACCTTCACAAATCAATGCTACACAACACCTAGTACTTATATTAGATATGAAGGTTGTTTTAATTTTCAGTCTTTAGTTGCGGTATTTTGTCAGTAAAATAAACTTATTTCTCCTAAAATGCTCTCGCACACAATACACGTTATCTGTTTTTGTATCAACATTTTGATAAAGCATCATTAGATTTCGTATACTCACAATGGAAAATACCTGTTTTCGACGTTATTGATATTATGGTATGATCATTTTTAATACTGAGTCAACCGGAGAACCATATTTCCATCTATAAATTCGATACATTCTCTGTATATTCTTATTTCTCTCGCATACTCGCACCAGATTGCCAATGGAAAAGTTGGATTTACTTAAGACTGATTTCTAATATTTAGGTTGCTTTCGTCACTAATTAACCGTTGTCAGTGAATAACTGAACATCAGGAATTAATTGAATGCTGTTCAATCCTCGTATAATAAGCCACGTCAGTGCACATTCATGACTTAAATTAGGATCAAAACCAAATCTTTCGAGTCTAGGGATGAATGTATAAGTATCAAGACGGTTGACTCTATGTTTACTGCTAGAATTATCACTTCAATCAATTTGAACTACAAAATGATTATCCTTCCCTGATATTCTACACAATTGTTCTACTTCTGACATGACCAAATTTTACTAGTCACGAATTCTCACTGGAACATGAGGGAATTGTTTAAATTAATATACTAGTGAGCAGACATTTACAGTCTATCAGAAGACGTTTTCTCGCATAATATGATATCATCAACTTACGAGTGAATTCAATGTCAACCAACTTTGGTCCACTCGTAACATTCAACTTTTCCCATCCTTCAATGAAAATCTGCGTTAATTCCTTATCGGATAATAGTGAAGCTTCCAATGATCTCATTTCCACCGTCATTTTCATGAAGATACTGTTGATTAATCGATATTCGTATTTTTCAGTATTATTAACTCTGTAGACAGTTTCAATTTGAACTATGACTTTTTCGAACGTGACGTTCAGAATTTTGAACGAGAATGAAATTTGAACATTCGCTAATTGTACACTTTTTGTAACCTAATCATTAAGGAAAGAAAAAGATATTTCAGTTATGCAATCAAATGTTCAAATGATCGATCAGTTTAAAATAGTTCAACTGAAAACTAAATACAAAAAACAAAGATGGATATCGAGGCAATACGCACAGTATGCACATATAACAATTAGTGACTGGTCAATTTCAATCCTAAACACTAATGGGAAGATTCAAGTAAAACAATATCAAGTGAATTAAATGCAAAAAGTCCATGCTTGATTTTAAATCACTGATAGCCCTAAAACAATATACCAAAGCTTAATGTGTGCCATCAAAACATTGTCATAAAATAACCCTCATGATTTTGAACATCGAATTTGTCACTCAAATATCGGAGAAACAATCAAGTTTCTTAAGAATTTCGATATTTAAAATGGAATAATAGCTGAATCATAACCAATGTTATTTCATTCGAAATTGAGATGCAGTCGGATGTCTTAAACATAATTCTTCAACTTTATACATCGCTCGTCCTGACAACTACCATTAGATATCTCCTACGGTGTATAGATTTCAAAAGACGATAATAAGCGTTGACTTCAGTCTTCTATCGTACAGCACAGTTCACGAAGCCCCCAAGAACATGAAGCGACTACGAACGAAAATGAGAATGGATGAATGAATAAAGTTTCAATAGCACAAAAACATAAGCAACAGACTGAATCATCGACCACTTTAGGCTGATATGAGGAATATGTGTATGAGCTGTAACAAGTGATCAAGCATACCTGATCTAAGAAGCATGGTGATGACAACTTAAAGATGCAAGCAATTCGTTGATGCCATGAATGACACTGCATAGTGAATAAGTTAACTAAAGGGCTCATTAAATTCGAACGTGTATAAACTTAATTATAAGTGAGTATGCTATAGTTTATACGTGATGTGGTTATGTAGTATCGGTTACTACACCAACTCATATAGCTTATTCTAGACTCCGGATAGGCCAATCTATTCATATGTTTAGTCACATCTTGATCTTGTCGATTATTCAATTATCAACCTTGACTGATTTTATATGAGCGTATATGTGTGCACTTCTTATCCTATTCATCACATGCCTGTTACTTATTTTGTTCGGCTATAAATATCGATTAACGCTTGATTGAATCGAGTTGGCTCATATGTCTTCTTCTTTGCTTCGCTCTCTTCTCTTCACTTCTCTTCGCTTCGTCACTCTGATTGTCTGTCCTGGTCAATGAATGTACAAAATATACGTATTCAAAAATACATTCTCGCATTTGAATGATTAATTAATTGCGATATTCATTAACGGGGATTAAGTCGATAATTATATAAAAGGATTGACTATATGTATTTTTCAATAAGATTCATGCGATCCAAATGGAGTCAGATATCAGACATCTAAAGTTACATAACATCCTTATAGATATATTCCAGTCAGTAGTAAATATCAGACAAACATAATCTTTCTTCACTTGGTATTGTTTGGTTGTATCTTCCCATTAAGGTTTAAGCCTGCGATTGATCAGTCTGTTATTGGCATATGTGCATGCTGTGCGTGTGTCTCAATATTACCTTAATTCACAGGCGTTTCGTAAGCATTGATGGATAGTGGCTAGTAGTGGAATCCAGGACGCGCGTTTCATTCTATTAAGGACTCGTCAGCAGGATTTACATGCATCTCAGAGTTGATGTTCACTCTGTGACTGGAACCCAGTACCAATCGCTACAAACGCCATCACGTTATACACTCAGCCACTGACTCCTTACTTATTACTCATAAATCATCTTAAGTAATATGTTAACGTAAACTCGAAAAACTATTAGAAATGATGATCTACTTGAATATTCAATTTAAAAATACAAAAAATTAATATTGATACCTACCAGATATTGAATTTGTGATGATAAATTTAAATAAAATGCACTTGTAGGTATACTTAAATTATCTGACCATTCCATTAAACCCCTTGATTCTACTTTGTAGATTAATGCCTCAATTTGTCCTATCGTAAGTTCTAAATGAGAAGTAGAAATTGGAATATCAAATATTTTAATATAAAATGAAGTCTGAAATATTTATATATATATATATATATATATATATATATATATATATATATATATATATATATATATATATATATATATATATATATATATATATATATATATATATATATATATATAGATATGCAAGCGTGGGAAAGATGAGAGATCTGTATGACACGATAAAGAAACTCTCCGGAAATCACCGCAAACCAGAACGACCAGTGAAATGCATGAAAGGCAAGGTACTCACGAACAGTGAAGAACAACGAAACAGGTGGTTAGAACACTTCAAAAACTCTTGAATCCACCAGCTGCACTGAACCCACCCAACATTGAAGCAGCACCCACGGACCTCCCAATCGATGTTGGCCCACTAACAATTGAAGAAATCAGCATGGCCGTCAGACAAATCAAGAGTGGCAAAACAACAGGACCAGGCATTATTCCAGCAGGGGCACTGAAAGCGGACGTAGCGGTAACCGCGAGGAAACTCCACGTCCTCTTCAGCAAGATTTAGGATGAGGAACAAGTATCAACAGACTGGAAGCAAGGACTTCTGGTCAAAATACCAAAGAAAGGCGATCTCAGCAAGTGTGATAACTATAAGGGCATCACTCTTCTCTCAATACCGGGAAAAGTCTTCAACAAGGCATTGTTAAACAGGATGAAGGACTGTGTAGACGCCCAACTTCGTGACCGACAGGCAGGATTCCGTAAGGATAGATCGTGTACAGACCAAATCGCAACTCTACGGATCATTGTGGAACAGCGAATTGAATGAAATTCATCACTCCGCATCAACTTTATTGACTGAGAAAAGGGATTTGATAGCGTGGACAGAAAAACACTATGGAAGCTTCTTCGACACTACACCGTGCCTCAGAAGATAGTCAATATCATACAGAATTCATATGATGGATTAAACTGCAAATGTCAAGTCAGTTCTACTGTATGGGGCAGATACCTGGAGAACTACGAAAGCCATCATCCAGAAAATACAGGTGTTTATTAACAGTTATCTACGCAAAATACTTCGAATCCGTTGGCCGGACACTATCAGCAACAACCTACTGTGGGAGAGAACAAAACAGATTCCAGTGCATGAAGACATCAGGGAGAAGCGTTAGGATTGGATAGAACACACATTGAGGAAGGCACCCAACTGCGTCACAAGTCATGCCATCATATGGAAGACCAAAGAACACATTAGGCCGAGAAGAGAGAGAGATAGAGAGGAGAAAAACGAACAAGAATTGGATGGAACTAGAAAAGAAGGTCCAGGACAGAGTGGGTTGGAGAATGATGGTCGGCGGCCTATGCTTCATTGGGAGTAACAGGCGTAATTAAGTAATATATATAGCCGGAGAAATATACGGTAATGTTTAAGAGTAGATGGATAATCACTAGTAATAGAATGATAGGATTGTCATTTCGTTTTATTGTTGATTCATCAGCTGAATATATTAATTTCCACACTGGGACATAAACCATCACCCCTCACTTTAAATGCTAAATGCACTGTTCAATAAAAAAATGACGAGTCGAGATAGATAGTGAATTACTCAAAAAGATAAAGAGTTAGTCGTTTAAATCGAAAGATATTGAGTTCGTATCAATGGGAGAATATCAGTGTTGGAATACAGGTAAATTCAACTGGTGAATCCTAAATAGAATGAAATTCATATCCTAGATTTCACAGCTGACAACAATCCATCATCATGACCATATCGAGGAAATGCCAACAATTACTGTGATCAACTTTCATCTATGAATACCAACGGTGGTTTCTTATAAAACTGTAATCATAATGATGCGTTTGTGGTTTAAAATATCATCTACAAATAAAGTAGTTTGGTGAGACTATAATCTAAGGACGGCCTTTGAATGATGCTAAAGTGATTTTGTCAGTGTGCATCTAAAATAACTAGGACGAAATGAGGGTTACAAACCAGTGTGAGGAATCGCAATTGTGAATTATACTTAATGCTTAAGGTTAGGAGTAAGATTTACGGCTTTCATCACCAACTGACATCAGATATGATTCCAAAACTCTATTTAGTCAAGTGGATGAATGAATTTCGTGACAAGATCCGAGACCTGTTATCTTTAATGTGATTGCTTCGTTTATAAATTATAGTTTCGCCAGCTTTTCTAAAATTATGACGAATATAAAATAATCAATATATTATGTTATTACGGCAATGCTCAGCTTAACGGAAATATTCAAAATACTGTGGCGGATGGTACTATACCAATCCCATATAGATTAATCTAGCTTCTGGACAGATCAATTTACTTATTCTGCTCAAGTCACATTTTGATCTTGTCCATAATCGGCTTAGTTAATCTGAATGTTCTTCACATGACAGTATGTGTGTTAATTGTTTAGATTATTTGTTACAGCTTATGTGCTGTGTACCCTCTTATTGTATGACGTGACGATACCACCAATCAGAGAGCAGTGACTTATAGATCCGACCAAGGACACGTATAACACGTGCAAGCAGCCTAGAGTTCTGATCGGTCCTTCTTCCGCCTAGCCTAGCCAGTTTATCCAGAACACAAATCACAGCCTCTGCAATATGAGTCCTTATATTTCAAACATACTCAGTTTATATACCATACAAAGAGACCACAAGGTGGCATAAAATAGAAAATAACATTTGTACAAGATTTGCCCAAATGTGGCTGTGAATGTGGGAGACAGTGACTAATAATAGACAGGGCATAATTCAAGAATGGCATGACCTATGATAATGGTTCATAGGTCAAAATAAAGTTTATATTGAGAGGAATATGTATATGAATAATTTAGTTACATAACTGTTGTGGATGCGGTGGAATAGACGAATAATTATCATGTTAAGTCCAATGGTGTCCTTGGACTTTAACTGGACATTTCCTATTGGTCAATATCTGTTCACTTGTTGAATATTGTACAATATGTTGTTTTCTATTTTATGGTACGATGTGGTATGCTTGATTGGTATATAAACAAAGTATGTTTGAAATATAGTGATTCATATCTCCGAGGCTGTGACTTGTGTTCTGGACTTAATTGACTGGGCTAGACAGGGAAGCGAGACCAATAGACTCTAGGCCGTCCGTACGTGTTTACGTGTCATTGTAATCGATCGATAACGCAGGGTAGAAATCGACCTGCAACTTAAATTCATAACAATTGGCGACGGGGTGGATAAAAATTTTAAACCTTGTAATTGGACGAGATTCAGGCTAATTGTTTCGACCAATCAGCATCCAGATTGTCATCAGCGTCCTTGAGCAACATTGGTCATTATTCCTACAGTTAATTTTCATTGCAAGTGCTGAAAAAAATGACTACCTTTTCCGATCGATTACAGCTTCTACTTGAGCAACAACAGCAGTGCTTCAAAAATAGCCAGTTAAATTTTTTAGAAAATTTACGCACACTGTTGGTAAGTCTTCCATGTTTCGGAGATGCAACAGAAGTTGGCAAGTTCATTTCTCATCTGCAGACAGCTGGAAAACAACTGCAGAACATATGAAGCTGTTTATAAAAGCCTCTGTGAATCCCGGACGACCAGTGATGTAAACGAGACAGTTATTCATGGTCCGCCCAGTTGTCCAGAAATGTCAAATTCCGAAACATTCCCTGTTGTGGGTTCGAATCCCACTGTGCCCGAAAGATGTGAGGTATCCAGCTTACAAGAAGAACCTCTCGTGCCAGAAGATGTTTCCCGTGCATCTAATAATGGTCAGAAATCTAATATGAATTTCAAAGATGCTGTTTGTTTTAGTGACCTATTATCCAGTGATAGAATTTTGAAGAGGTCTGAAGAATATGTTGCACAAGAATCAAACCTTAATGACCTCATGTCTGGTGTCACTAATCCCCATCATCTAGTCAGTTTTAGTGAACCCCCTACTCAATGCGCGAAATATGCTTTAATTCGAATCAGACTAACTGTTACTTGGGTATATGAGGACCCAACGTTATTTCGTGGGGGAGGATGAACCCAGAAAATTTCAAAATCCGGATATCAACTCGGGATCTTCAAAAAAAAGGGGAGATGTTGTGGATGCGGTGGAATAGACGAATAATTATCATGTTAAGTCCAATGGTGTCCTTGGACTTTAAATGGACATTTCCTATTGGTCAATATCTGTTCACTTGTTGAATATTGTACAATATACGAAAAAATAAACGTATACCATTTGTCCATAAATGGATCCCAAATTTGCCACTCATTATTCTTATCAGGACATCACAGTATTCATGAAGTGTTTTTATATTATTTTCTTCTGAATATAGATATTAAGTAACGACTGACCAAAACGATTGAGCTCACTTGCCATCTAAGCTGCATATCACTATGTTTCGGTTTGTTTCGTTTCGGTTGATCTCTCTCAATTCGTGTCTGAGATTGTCTGTCTGAATCAGTGAGTGTGCAAAATATACGAATTCAAAATTCATTTTCGTATTCGACACATTCTATTCCGTTATTCTCTATCGTGGAATTAAATCGATGAAAATGTACGATGGTTGATAGAATGTTTATAATTTATAGAAGATTTTTGTGCGACGTTAAACTAACCTTCAGAATGTCCACCTACTAACTAGGACTAAACGATGGTTATGATTTACAGTTGATGGTTATGGTTAAGCGTAAGATTTATGGTTTATATCACGAATTGACATTAGCTGAAATACGTAAACGCAATTTAACTAAATGGATGGATGAATTTCGCACCGAAATCCAAGATCTATTATCTTAAATCTGATTGGTTCGTCCATAAATTATAGTCGCGCCTAAATATGTAACATTCTATCACATAAAAGATGGAAATATTTTTTTGCCAAAAGAAAAACAAACATACAAACAAACAGAACAAAAGAACTCACTATCAAATAATGGAGGTAGAGCATTTTCAAAAGGTTCAAAAGATATACCATCACTAATGAAATTATATTCTGGACTGGTAACGACTGACATAAATCTTGGAGTTGATGTTGTTACTGATGAAATATCTAGTTTATTTTCGGTGGATTTACTTGTTGACATTTCGGTAGATATTGTAGTTTCATTAGAGATGACTAAAATAACGAGAGAAAAAGCAGATTGGAAATAATGAACAACAAAGCTAAGAGATTCAATTACCATGTAAACAATAAACAACTCGGTTACCATGATGTGACTGGTCTTATGTTCAGCCCATATTGGTTATTCTAGTTTTTGGAGCGATCAATCTATTCATTCTTCTCAAATCACATTTTGACCTTGTCATTTGTTCGCTTATGTAAGCACATCTTCTTGTCTCTTACCTTTCATTGTTTGCGTTAAGCTCTGATAATATTCAAGTCATATGGATGTTATGATTTTCATGCATAGAATTGATGTAAACATTCACTAGAATAAATGGACATATTTCTGGGCGAATATCAAGCTACCAAACTCCGGTTATCTTACATTTACTTAAGGCTATAACTATCAACTACCTGACGTCGATTGTATGTATTAAGTAGAAAATATTAGTTTACGTTTGTCCAGAAAAAAATAATCCTCTACTGGTTAGACTATTTCAATCACTGCTCTCGTTAACGAGTTAAATGTTCCAACGACAGATGATATTTACGGATGTTTGAGTGTATTGGAAAAAGGATAGGAGCTTTTAGATAAAATCACCGCATCAGTTCATGAAGTCACTGACATTTCTTCTATGCCATATTGGTAAATAAAGATTACCATATTGCGGTTTATGCAATCACGGCGATTAGTTGCTGGAAACTGTAGGAAGTTGTTTAGAATAATTTACAATGACGCAGATGCTTTATAAGATGCTATATAGATGGTTTATAGTCAAAAATTGATAGTTTCTAATAGTGGAATCCAGGACACGCGTTTCGTCTTATTTAGGATTCATCAGCTGGATGCACCTGCATCTCAAATTTGGTGTTCACTGTGAAACTCGAACCCAGTACCGTTCTCCTCAAACGTCATCGCATTATCCACTGAGCTACGCAGTCATGATAGCCACTTACTTGTGCAATGGAGTTTAGTTTTAAATTCACTTGTTATTTACTCGTATCTTCTCATCTACATTAGTTCATCAAATATAGTTTATACTCATGAGCTAATACATTAGAATAAAGTATGTTTAAGAAGATAATAATGTGCATAGAATCACTTACGATTAACTTCAATATTCAATAAATAGATATTAAAAGTCCTACTCATATTCATTCCATGATATATTAAAGCAGTAATAAATAGACTTTCATTCATATTTGTAGTATTAATAAGTAATAATTCAATATCAGCAATTCCTTGAACACCTTGAATGAGATTTGTATAATTAATTTGTCTTATTTGTAAATTATTCACATTTATTGGGATGAAGATTACATTAGAACATTTTGCATTTTTAATTATAGAAGAATAACTTTCATTTAAACGTTCAATAATCTAATTGAAGAAAATACAATAATTAGAATAAAATAATAAAATAGATATACAAAAAGAAACCTAATTTATTTGATTTTGATTAGTACAGGGGATTTGAGAAGATGCTGTCTCATGATAACCAGTAACTAACAATCAGTTCCGATATCACATTTATTCCTTCAAGACCTTAGAGTCTATGTGTGTCATTGGTTTGTAATCAGGGTTTTCCAACTCCCCTAGGTGAATCCTCTTGTCCATTGACCCGTATAAAAAGAGTGGGATATTCGATTTTGGTCCTCTCAGTTTCGTAAACAACACCACGACCATGAGAATAGCAGTGAGCAGTACTTCCCTGACAGTGGTTGCATACGTGTGGTCATGTGAGAGTTTTTGGAGGAAAGGTGACTCTCTCTACTCTCGGCCGTACTAGAGCATTTGAGGGTTTGGAATAAATGTTATCAAAATACGGTAAAGTGAGACTGTAATCCTAGTATTGAAATGAATCATTTAGACTACAAAACACAATCGAAGATTTAGTGTTTATTTGATTGTGATACTGATTTTCAATTACAGTTTGACATGAATATTATCTCTTTAATGTATGTTCTATCAAAATTTATTAATCATAACATTCTTAATAATTCTGCCTTACATATTTTAAGTTCGTTATACACAAGTAGCATTGTGTGTACTGAACAACCGGAGTGCACACAAAAATATTGAAGCTATGTGGTCGAGGCTGAAAGAATTTTTGAGATTTTATCATGGCTCCAAAGGCCGACTATTCTGTAGCCATATGGATGATTTCCTCTATTGCATACATCACCATTTTAGGACCTCTGAACCTCTTTCTAACCTTGATAAGTTTTTGAATCACGTATAAGAAATGTATCCACCTTATTTGTTTGGTTTTGTGTAATATATTTTTGTTCTATACTGACTGTTTGCTGATTGGTTAATATTTCTCAGGGTCACTTAAGATTCGTTCAAAGGTCGTTCATAAATTATAGTCTTGCCGTTCGTACGCTCTCCAATGATTCGTATATATTGGAGTACCCAGCTGCAACCGGTGTTACTGGTGCTTTTATTATCCAGTTCGCAATAACTGTCATAAATTGCCTTAGTTAGTATTTATATATAGGGTTTTCATCACGAATTGACATCAGCTAGAATGCCAGAAATCTAATTAGTCAAATGGATGAAAAGCTTTCGAGCCGAAATCCGAGATGTGATCTTATACTTGATTGATTCCTCCACAAATTATAGTCCTGCCGTTTTATTTATTATAGCCGCTCGATTATCACGTTTTGTACAAAATCCACTGTGAACCGATCGTATGTTAGCATTAGGCACTGAGGTTGGTTCTGTGACCTTAAAAATCTCTCAAACGCTTCTGAATGGCTCGTCCAGAAATGAGAGCCTCGCCGAAATTCCAATATAATGGAGCTCCCTAAATGAATGTCATAAACAAAAATGAAGTTTAATATGCCTAAACATATGGGTTCTATTCTCTCAAGTTTTTATGGATTGTCTACAGTTTATAAACCTAATAATCCATTATGATCAATATTATCTATGTCTAACTCAACTATACATGAAATAACAAAATGTTTAGCTAACTTGCTAAACTAAATCTGTAATGAACTTTGTAAGTTTTATTTAAAAGATACATTTGACCTAATGCTCCTACAAGTGAGAAGGGATGCAGCTAGCGAAATAATAATCCAGAAGACTACACAGAACAATCCAAAAACCATTCAATGATGGAGAACTACGACTAGTTTGTTCTAGGCGCTTGTGGGTAGCGTTGAGGTTAAGAGATGAATCACCTAGAATGACCACCTTGTTTTGTATTTATCAGTTCGACTGCCCTTGTGTGACACATTATATTGGACAAAGCGGAATGTAGAAATTTAGAAAATGGAATGAAAAAATCCACTTGGTATTGTTTGCTTGAAGCTTGTCATTAAGAATTGAGACTGCGATTGATCGGTCTGTTATTAGCATATGTGCATACTGTGCTTATTGCCTCGATATTACTTTAATTCACAAACTTTCTAAGTAAAAATGGAAAGTTTTTAGTAGTGGAATTCAACACACGTGTCTCGTCCTAATGGAGACTCGTCGACCGGATGTACCTGGATCTCAGGGTTGATGTTCACTTCAAGATTCGAACCAAGTACCGTTCATTTCAAACTTCACTCAGCTACTAATTTCTGATAGCCATTTGCTTTGTGTAATGAAAGAAAAATTCTCAAAAAGAATGAAAAAAAATACATATATGCGGAAACCGTCGTGTATTTAACAATATTCAACTTTATGCGTTACAATATTTAGGAATTACATTCAAACTGATGAGCCTAATTATATTGTTATTTAATAATTGATGAATATAAGATCATACAAAGAAAAAACTTACAAAAGTACAAAGTTTCATTTTCAATGTTATATATTCTATTGTTGATGGATTTGCTAAATCTGATGACCAAAGATATAGATCTGAATTGTTACCAGTATAAAGTGTTCCTTGAACTCTGAAGATTGCTGTTATTAAAACTAATTTCCCGAAAGATAAGAATAACAAAATATTGATTGTTCTTATTATTATCATTTCAAGTAAGTAGTTTATTTAGTAATTGAAAATATTGGAAAAGATGATGGATTGTTTAAGGTTAGACACTAATACTGTTGAATGCAGGCTTAATGATTGTAGTAGATGTTCAGCGTTTACACATGAGATCGAAGGTCTTGTATTTGATTTCTGCGTGAGGGTTATGGATAAGAACTGTTGAGGAGTCCCATGTTATCAGGTTTTTAATGGTGGTCTATTTTATATCAGTTTGTGATTTCAAAAGTGAAAATTCCAAGTATATTAAACTAATGTGAACATATATAATTCACCAATTTAAAAGAATGTTAACTGTTCATTAATTTTGCATTTATTATCAGAAGGGGTTTTGTGGAGATTTTAGTAATGTTTTATAGTTGAATTCATGAGTCATTTGAAACTAGAGCACCACGGAAAATCTGGAAGCACTGGACAGCCGTTTCATCCTAGTGTGTGACTCCTCAGTAGTGCGCATCCACGATTCCGTCCCGTGAGATTTGAACCCAGAAGCTATCAGTCTCGCGCGTGAACCTATAACCTCTAGACAACTGAGCTGGCATTCAACAGTGTTACTATCTAACTTCAACCAATCCGAAAAATTGAGCCACCGTTCACAGGTTATTAAGTGCTGGTTAACTTCGATCTTGGACAAAACAGTTTTGTCTGAATAATGTTTGTGAATACACTTTCGAGTAATGGTCTATTCCTCTATGCTTAAAAATAAATATATATCAACTAATTACAATGTTGAATTAATCAACACATAATGCACTTATACCTCAAGAGACTGGTCAATTACAGTTCTAAACGTCAATGGGAAGATCCAGAAAACTAATGTAGATGAATGAAACTTCACCTCATGGAACAGAGTATTAGTTATTTGAATTTAAGAGATAAGTAAATAACGCGAAATCGTTCGAAGTGAACGGTGCTAGGTTCGAGTTCTGGAGTAAACATCAACTCTGTAGTTTTCTGAAATGTCACTTGTATGTTTGTTTGTTTTTTACCTCAGTCGTGTTCCTACTCTTTTGAATGTTATGAAATTCTCATTTGTACCGTCAACGTTTTTAATACATATTTCAATTATATTATTTATAATTATTTTCTTAGGATACTTTCATCATTATTGCAAATGATTGACATTCATTTAAACACGCAGTGAATCAAGTGAACCACCACTGCAAGCGGGGAAGCATTTCGCACCAAAACATGAGTTATTAAAAGTGTGCATAAACAAAATGACAGTGGAAATCGAACACACAAGTTTCACTCTTCCTCGAAATATCAAGAATTGAATGAAGTAAGTAAAAGAAAAGATAACAATCGTATGCCGACTTAAAGGTCTAGAGGTTGTGCTCGAGTGCAAGAATGAAGTTTTCGAATTCGTTCCATGTTAGGGTTGCTATTGTTGACTGTCCACAGGATGTTATATCTTTCGTAAATAAACAAATAATTGAAAAATATTTCAGGAATAATAAAAAGGGGAGAAAACCATGAAAAGAAATCGCAAACATATAACAGAGGGAAAATACAAATAAATAAGACGGAAAAACTAAGGATGAATAAAAGGCGAAAACTGGATAGCGAAGAAAGAGAAGATGTAAAGCAAAGATAAAAAAAGTGAAGAGGAAAATTCGAAACAAATATTCATGAGTGAAAGGACAAAAGAACAACAAAAACTACAAAGAACCAAAACGGCAGATATCAGTGGAAAGGACTGTGACACCAGGTTAAGCGCTGTGAGGAGAAAATAAAATACATACCTGTTTGCATTGCTGTAGACTGTGATGATGGCTGTGATGTGGACTCAGGTGTGTGCTGTGATGTTGACACTGACACTGAGACTGGAGTTGAGACTGGTGTTTGCAGTGTGGTTGATTCTGTCGACTGGAATGCTGTAGTGGAGATTGTTGGCGTGGTGTCGACCAAGTGTGACGTGGATGTGGTTTGGTCAGACTGAGTTGGATGAGTGATGTCGGTGACTGGTGGAATGGATGTGGAATCGGAATGGACACCTGTTGAGAAGGAGTAGTGGGAAATGAATGTGTGTAGAGAGTGAGTGTGTTTTGTATGTGTGGATGATGACGACACAGAATGCATGAGATGAATTGAGAGTAGTGTGATGAGTGAGTAGAAGTGTGCATAATGGGGTGTGTGTATTGGTTGTTATTAGTGAATAAATGTGTGTGTGTGTGAGATAGTGGATGAAAGTTGTAGACAAGGTTTGGATTAGTGGTGTTGTGAGTGATTGACAGACTGGTTGATGCAATTATTGACTTGTTGATTGAGTGATCGACGTGTTGACTGACAGACAGTGTGTTTGTTTGTGTTTGAGTGACAGAGAGAGAGGAAGAGAGAGACAGAGATGTAGAGAGTGATTGATTGATTGATTGAATGAGTGTGGGCGTGCGTGCTTATGTTTACGTTGGACGCGTCGTGGTCTGTGCCTCAGTCGAAACATCCTCTTACGATATATTTGATGTGATCTTTCAATCGATCGAGTGTTCTTTCTTTGCAACAGAAACCCAAATATTATGTCACTACTTACGGAAGTAGATTCGGACGACGTCGTGTCGTCTTATAAATATTGTGGAACTACCGAATGCATCTGACCCATTATTTGTTAATGGGCTGATCGTTTTCACGTGTCCGTTGTCCTGTTTTTGTATAACCATTTTCATAAATTAGCATTAGAATTCGTGTACTTACTACGAAAAATACTTATTTTCGCTGTTATCAGTATTATTGTCTGATCTTTTTCAATACTGAGTTAACCGGAGAACTATATTTTCATTTATATATTCGATATTTTTTCTGTATATTCATATTTCTACCGCATACTCAGACCAGATTTCCATTGAAAAGTTGGATTTACCTGATATATATTCTATTTATTACAGATAGTATTTGGTAAGGAAATTGGTTTTTATTATTTAGGTTGCTTTCGTCACAGATTAACTGTTTCACTGCACAACTGAATATCAGGAATCAATTGAATGCTGTTCAATCCTCGTATAATAAGCAACATCAGTGCACATTCATGACTTAAATTGGGATCAAAACCAAATCTTTCGAGTCTAGGGATGAATGTATAAGTATCAAGACGGTTGACTCTATGTTTACTGCTAGAATTATCACTTCAATCAATTTGAACTACAAAATGATTATCCTTCCCTGATATTCTACACAATTGTTCTACTTCTGACATGACCAAATTTTACTAGTCACGAATTCTCACTGGAACATGAGGGAATTGTTTAAATTAATATACTAGTGAGCAGACATTTACAGTCTATCAGAAGACGTTTTCTCGCATAATATGATATCATCAACTTACGAGTGAATTCAATGTCAACCAACTTTGGTCCACTCGTAACATTCAACTTTTCCCATCCTTCAATGAAAATCTGCGTTAATTCCTTATCGGATAATAGTGAAGCTTCCAATGATCTCATTTCCACCGTCATTTTCATGAAGATACAGTCGATCATTCGAAAGTTTTCCATGAATCCAAGTTGAATCATGTATTTTTCGAACGTGACGTTCAGAATTTTGAACGAGAATGAAATTTGAACATTCGCTAATTGTACACTTTTTGTAACCTAATCATTAAGGAAAGAAAAAGATATTTCAGTTATGCAATCAAATGTTCAAATGATCGATCAGTTTAAAATAGTTCAACTGAAAACTAAATACAAAAAACAAAGATGGATATCGAGGCAATACGCACAGTATGCACATATAACAATTAGTGACTGGTCAATTTCAATCCTAAACACTAATGGGAAGATTCAAGTAAAACAATATCAAGTGAATTAAATACAAAAAGTCTATGCTTCCCATTAAATCACTGATAGCCCTAAAACAATATACCAAAGCTTAATGTGCGCCATCAAAACATTGTCGTTAAATAACCGTCATGATTTTGAACATCAAATTTGTCCAAAATTATTTTCGAATAAAGAAAATAAGCTTATGTAAACAGTAGAAGAATCAAAGCCGCATATCGTGAATGTAGCGAAGTTAGACAATAACACTGTTGGAGAGAAGCTTAGTGGTCCAGATGTTCAGCATTCGCTCGTGATTCTGACGGTCCTGAAATCAATTTCTTGTAATGAGTTTATGGATTAAGTAGCACTGACGAGTTACATTTAATGGCAAAACAGCTACTCAAAGATTTCACGTTTTAATGGTAGTCTAGCTGAGATCAGTTTGTCGTTGATATACCATGAAATTTCAATGATCTCCAGTAATTCTCCCTATACTAAAATGATATCAGTCCATAGAAAAATAGGAAAGTTATTTATTCTAAAGTATCCGGAGATTTTTGGCATCATAAGCGGATTACATGACGCCTGTTTTAGAAGAGTATGTTTATGTTAGAATATATTCACCACATTATCATGATCGTAGATAATTTAATTTGTAGTTATTCATCAACATGGCTTAACTTCAATACTGATGGAATTGATGCTCCCTGTATGATTCGAACCATAGTCACTCAGCTATCGGAGAAACAATCAAGTTTCTTAAGAATTTCGATATTTAAAATGGAATAATAGCTGAATCATAACCAATGTTATTTCATTCGAGATTGAGATGCAGTCGGATGTCTTAAACACAATTCTTCAACTTTATACATCGCTCGTCCTGACAACTACCATTAGATATCTCCTACGGTGTATAGATTTCAAAAGACGATAATAAGCGTTGACTTCAGTCTTCTATCGTACAGCACAGTTCACGAAGCCCCCAAGAACATGAAGCGACTACGAACGAAAATGAGAATGGATGAATGAATAAAGTTTCAATAGCACAAAAACATAAGCAACAGACTGAATCATCGACCACTTTAGGCTGATATGAGGAATATGTGTATGAGCTGTAACAAGTGATCAAGCATACCTGATCTAAGAAGCATGGTGATGACAACTTAAAGATGCAAGCAATTCGTTGATGCCATGAATGACACTGCATAGTGAATAAGTTAACTAAAGGGCTCATTAAATTCGAACGTGTATAAACTTAATTATAAGTGAGTATGCTATAGTTTATACGTGATGTGGTTATGTAGTATCGGTTACTACACCAACTCATATAGCTTATTCTAGACTCCGGATAGGCCAATCTATTCATATGTTTAGTCACATCTTGATCTTGTCGATTATTCAATTATCAACCTTGACTGATTTTATATGAGCGTATATGTGTGCACTTCTTATCCTATTCATCACATGCCTGTTACTTATTTTGTTCGGCTATAAATATCGATTAACGCTTGATTGAATCGAGTTGGCTCATATGTCTTCTTCTTTGCTTCGCTCTCTTCTCTTCGCTTCGTCAGTCTGATTGTCTGTCCAGGTCAATGAATGTACAAAATATACGTATTCAAAAATACATTCTCGTACTTGACTTATTTAATTCCGTTATTCATTAACCAAGATTAAGTCAATTATTATATAAAAGGATTGACGATATGTATTTTTCAATAAGATCCATACGATTCAATTGGAGTCAGAGATCGGACAACTAAAGTTACATAACATCCTTATAGATATATTCCAGTCAGTAGTAAATATCAGACAAACATAATCTTTCTTCACTTGGTATTGTTTGGTTGTATCTTCCCATTAAGGTTTAAGCCTGCGATTGATCAGTCTGTTATTGGCATATGTGCATGCTGTGCGTGTGTCTCAATATTACCTTAATTCACAGGCGTTTCGTAAGCATTGATGGATAGTGGCTAGTAGTGGAATCCAGGACGCGCGTTTCATTCTATTAAGGACTCGTCAGCAGGATTTACATGCATCTCAGAGTTGATGTTCACTCTGTGACTGGAACCCAGTACCAATCGCTACAAACGCCATCACGTTATACACTCAGCCACTGACTCCTTACTTATTACTCATAAATCATCTTAAGTAATATGTTAACGTAAACTCGAAAAACAATTAGAAATGATGATCTACTTGAATATTCAATTTAAAAATACAAAAAATTAATATTGATACCTACCAGATATTGAATTTGTGATGATAAATTTAAGTAAAATGCACTTGTAGGTATACTTAAATTATCTGACCATTCCATTAAACCCCTTGATTCTACTTTGTAGATTAATGCCTCAATTTGTCCTATCGTAAGTTCTAAATGAGAAGTAGAAATTGGAATATCAAATATTTTAAGATATATATATATATAGCCGGAGAAATATGCAGTAATGTTTAAGAGTAGATGGATAATCACTAGCAATAGAAGGATAGGATTGTCATTTCGTTTTATTGTTGATTCATCAGCTGAATATATCAGCAATTCAGAGTTAATTTCCACACTGTGACTTAAAACCATCACCCCTTTCTTTAAATGCTAAATGCATTGTTCAAACTGACGAGTCAAGTTAGATAGTGAATTACTTAAAAATATAATGAGTTAGTGTTATGACCTTGATCTGTCTACTCTAGATTAAGACCTTGACGCAATTGGCCGATAGGTTTAACCTTGAAGCTAGTACACGTGAGTTCGAGGTGGGGTAGAGAGAAGAGAACTATTCTAGCACCTGATTGACTGACAAGCACGCAAATAAGAGAAGAGAAGACAAGACAGTTGGAACACTATTGGCCGTATTGCGTAATCCTGATTTTTATGTGAAATCTCTAAATTCATGAAAAGTGCAAAAAGGTACATGAATAACTAGGTGATTTACCTGACCACAACGTTCAATAATTTGGAAAAATACATTTATGTCCGAAACTGGGAATTAGGGTAGAAAATAAAGTGCAAAATACTATGTTTAAATTACAATAGCCTCGGAACAAAAAGTGGCATGGCAATGAATGATACATCGAAGGAAAGCTCATGTCCTATAGAATAAAATAGGGACAAAAATAAATGTCAATGTTTTACAAGCTTTGAATAAAATAACGTCCCGATAAACAGCTTTCGTAGTTTGTCAGGGCTTCTTGTTTCCCCGTTCACATCAGTTAGTCGTTTAAATCGAAAGATATTGAGTTCGTATCAATGGGAGAATATCAGTGTTGGAATACAGGTAAATTCAACTGGTGAATCCTAAATAGAATGAAATTCATATCCTAGATTTCACAGCTGACAACAATCCATCATCATGACCATATCGAGGAAATGCCAACAATTACTGTGATCAACTTTCATCTATGAATACCAACGGTGGTTTCTTATAAAACTGTAATCATAATGATGCGTTTATGGTTTAAAATATCATCTACAAATAAAGTAGTTTGGTGAGACTATAATCTAAGGACGGCCTTTGAATGATGCTAAAGTGATTTTGTCAGTGTGCATCTAAAATAACTAGGACGAAATGAGGGTTACAAACCAGTGTGAGGAATCGCAATTGTGAATTATACTTAATGCTTAAGGTTAGGAGTAAGATTTACGGCTTTCATCACCAACTGACATCAGATATGATGCCAAAACTCTATTTAGCCAAATGGATGAATGAATTTCGTGACAAGATCCGAGACCTGTTATCTTTAATGTGATTGCTTCGTTTATAATTTATACTCTCGCCAGTTTTTTCTAAAATTATGACGAATATAAAATAATTAATATATTAAGTTATTACGTCATTGCTCAGCATAATGGAAATATTCAAAATACTGTGGCGGATGGTACTATACGAATCCCATATAGATTAATCTAGCTTCTGGACAGATCAATTTACTTATTCTGCTCAAGTCACATTTTGATCTTGTCCATAATCGGCTTAGTTAATCTGAATGTTCTTCACATGACAGTATGTGTGTTAATTGTTTAGATTATTTGTTACAGCTTATGTGCTGTGTACCCTCTTATTGTATGACGTGACGATACCACCAATCAGAGAGCAGTGACTTATAGATCCGACCAAGGACACGTATAACACGTGCAAGCAGCCTAGAGTTCTGATCGGTTATTCTTCCCGCCTAGCCTAGCCAATTTATCCAGAACACAAATCTCAGCCTCTGCAATATGAGTACTTATATTTCAAACATACTCAGTTTATATACCATACAAAGAGACCACAAGGTGGCATAAAATAGAAAATAACATTTGTACAAGATTTGCCCAAATGTGGCTGTGAATGTGGGAGACAGTGACTAATAATAGACAGGGCATAATTCAAGAATGGTAAAACGTATAATGATGGTTCATAGGTCAAAATAAAGTTTTCAATAAGGGGAGGATGAATAGTTTAGTTATTTAACAATTATACGACAGAAGTTTACGTATAGTATTGGTCCATAAATGGATCCCAAATTTGCCACTCATTATTCTTATCAGGACATGACAGTATTCATGAAGTGTTTTTATATTATTTTCTTCTGAATATAGATATTAAGTAACGACTGACCAAAACGATTGAGCTCACTTGCCATCTAAGCTGCATATCACTATGTTTCGGTTTGTTTCGTTTCGGTTGACCTCTCTCAATTCGTGTCTGAGATTGTCTGTCTGAATCAGTGAGTGTGCAAAATATACGAATTCAAAATTCATTTTCGTATTCGACATATTCTATTCCGTTATTCTCTAACGTGGAATTTAGTCGATGAAAATGTACGATGGTTGATAGAATGTTTATTTCAGT